ATAATCGTACAACTGGCAGGACGGCTAACGGTGACGATCTCTCCTACGTAGGGAAATTATTATTCATTCACGGAACCCCCTCGATCTTGCTATTGTTGGCGTGTTTATACTGCTTCGAGGAGATTTTCGCGGTGTTTTTGGAGCTGCACTGATGGGACTGGGGTATTTTAGTGTGGATGTCCGTTTTCAACGTGATTTTTGGGAATTAATTTAAAGAAAGCTATCAGACCTAGAAAGTTCTGGTTTTGCGTATATCTTTATGCGTGGTCAAGGTTAATGCACAAATTTTTGTAACATATTTTATGAAGAATTATGCGAGTTTTATTGGTTGCGTCCGTCCTAGTCGTCTGAAAGAAATAAACAGCATAAAAAGAAATTACAAAGTTACAGTTTTAAATTTGGAAGTCTGAGTTTTACCAACAAATTTTTACTTTTTGTACCCTGGAAAAATAGTTAATTTTAAGGTATCAAAAAGTTTCTAGGTTGAAGGTGTAGGTGCTATTGAGTAGTACTTATTTTTTTCACGTGTCTGACCATTACTTGACGAATCTACTTAAATCGAAATTCAAGTGTGTACATATCAGATAAACTTTTATGAACAAATGTTGTTATTGACTGTCGATTTACGTTCAGAATGACACGTTTGTATAATGAATCAACCTATACGGGTCAAATAAAATTTATTTATATGTAGACAGATCATTTTTTTACAAGAGTTTACGAATTATTATTACAATATAAAAAAAGAGTCATAGTATTTGCAGCTCTTTCAAGTAACTTCTTGACAAGTAACTCAAGTAACTTTCATGAAATAACTTCTTTACTCTTCGAAGTAAGCAATCCACCGAAAAAGTTGAGAGTTTTATGTTAATAGGAGTATCAATTACATTGCATATACTGATTGCAGGATCAGAATGTTCAAACCTTGAGTTGTTCAAACCATTTATATTAATTTGCAACTGCAACATAAAAGGCCGTCTATATAATCATTTTTGTAACATCTTAAACACTGTTTATGTAAATAAGAATTAAGTAAATTCAATGAGGTTTATATAATTTTATACCACAATAGATGAAATTAAAAACTTAATTATGCACCACGTCTTTTACTTCGTAAAAGATTTTTCTGCAACAATCGTCGTCACGGACCAATTGTCAATACCAAACGTTCAGGGAACAGAACGAAGGAATATGTTTCGATCGGACGCACGAATAGCTGACGCGTGCTTCCACGAGTAACGAAAAAATAACTGAACGAAGATCGCTTCGTTTAAGTAGCTCGTGGTAATTTCACTTTGCCTACGGCATTTCATGGTATTACGTGAACGATTTCTTTTCTTTAGGCTGTTCTATAATATTTCACGCCCTTGGGACGATGTTCGTTTCGAGACAATGAACAAGAACTTTCCATTGGAGGATCGTGAATCGACTTCCGTTGGATTGTTTAGGAAACGGTTGACGAGGTATTGAATTCATGAGATTCTTTCGAGTCTTGAAAGGAAGCAGTAGGAATTTTGAATGAAATCGGGATACATTGCCGTGACTCGTGGGATTTCTGTATGGATTAATGGAAATTTATCGAATGATACCGTATAACATGAAAATGTATTAATTATGATTTTTAATTATGCTCATGCTTAATGAAACATATATTCCATTGTATTAAGCGTATGTATATTAAATAAATAATGAACGTTAACAATACTAACAATAATGATAATTGCCACGTATGTCTGAGAATCGATTAAATTACTAGCATGCATTGATGTGATTACAGTAGTATGTATGCAGGTTTACATTTGTTATTATTAAAAGATTAGGGTAATCTCAATTTTTGTAAAAGAGAACACAATATTTATAGGAACTACAATATTCTTGTATCGAAGGTACGATCCAAGATAACTTAAAACTTGTCACAGAAAAAATCAGTCACCTGTCTGTACCACAATTTATTACTTCCATGAAATAAAACCTAATCTTAACGAAACTATTACAACGATCATGAACATTCCTCATAAACAAACTGCGGATTTTTATGCAGAATAATATTTTCTAAAGTAATTCATAAAGACAAGAGCAAATGCACGAATTTCTTTCCTCTCTTAAATATCTTATTGAGTTTAGAATAAAATGAAAAACATGTTACATTTGATGAAAGTTTTGCAATTTATTATATTTATTGAACCCTATAAGCTGCAAATGTATGAAATCGGCAGTCTGCACATAAATACTTCCTAAAAAAATCATTTTAAAGTACTTCAACCCTTAACTAATGAAAATAATCATCTTCCAAAATTCTCCACTATGTTGCGCTACCAAATAAAAATTCACTCTGAGACAAGTCATCTATAATTAAAGATTAAACAGAATTCCCCACAAAAACCACAACCCTCTTCTCCAATATCTTCCCCCATCTAAAACCGATTCTACCCCAACCGCTCACCGATAGTATCCCTCCGAAAACAGAGAAACCAGAAGCCCAGTACCAAGAATGAATGAAAATTACCTGTGTATCGTCGATTGACATGGCACGAAACGATCGTTCTTGAAGATCGCGATACACGAGAACGCGGGAAAGGGTGAGGGAGGAACGTGTAGGTTGACAATAGAGATAGGGAGACATGGGACCAGGATAGGCCGAGAAAGTTTTCCAATTTGAGGCAATTAGTTTGCCGTACGGGAACTGGATGGCATGCATCCAGATAATCGAATATGGGTCACCGTCCGAAGTGGAATGGGTCGCGCTTTGGTCAGGCACCGTGGAGACCCGACGAGACCGTGGAAAGAGGAAGAGTTTGACGTGATCGCGTGGACGAGGGTCAACTAGGGCTCCGAAGCAATAATTGTTCACGTGGAGAGGGAGGCAGGGGGTTGAATCTCGAACTATTCGATACGCTTAGAGCATTAAAACCGCTTCTGCGATGAAACCGGGCCGCCTCAGGGGGAAGGGAATTTGCATATAGAAAAACGACTAGAGCAGCCGGCGCGCGCGGCTCGATTGAAAAAGTAATGAATATTGAAAGAGAGGTGGTAATGCAGAAGATAAAGCGTTCGACGAAATGAGAAATCCATTTTGAGGGTGTCGAGACCGGTTCTCCGGGCTCTGAAAACTCTCTCTCTGTTCGACGAGGATTTGAAGTGATACTACGAGGAGTCGTTTTTTTTTACTTGTTGTACGGGAGAGACGAGTTAACTCGTTTGTGTTCGAGTGTATCGATACTTTTTTTATTTTTTTTTTTTTGTTTATTTAATGAATGATTCTTGGGTTTAGTTGTATTGTAATTATACCGCTGACGTTTATACATATCTGGACACCAGAGCCAGGGTGTATTCAGACACACTTTTCAAACTTTAGAGGAGAGCAGGAATCTTGTAACTTTAGAATTTGTGGGTCAAAAACTATTAAAGGATCCGATAAATCCTCAAATCATCTGTTGTACGAATGTATTGGGATGTCAAAATTATCATACATCACATCCTACTCTATAATCATGTCAGTTAGTCCGTTGTGTGCGTTTCTTGACCAATTCCATCTTCTTGCATCCGAACCAACATATTCACTTTTCCAACAATTTTATCTCGCGGTGATATTCGATCTCGTTGAATATTCCCGGAAAATTCGGACCTTTCGAATCATTCTCGAATAATCGGCCACTAGACACGGGGAAAGTTCGATTGATCGATGCCCTGAACTCCCTTGAACTGGTGCTCGATCCGAAGCTATGGAGCCTCGAAGTTTCCCCGGAAGTTGCGGACGATGCAAGAGTCGACTAACTTGTAAATTGCAGATGTAACACCGATCGGTCTACCGCGGAAAACTGGTTTTCCCTTTACTTTCCTGAACACAGAAATCATTTGCTCGTCGATGTTACGTCGTCGTTTCTTACCCGACGTATTTGATCGTGCTCCCCAGCTTTCATCCCTCTGACACGTCCCGTTCCACGTTCGATTTAACGACGTCCGCGGAATTTTTCAGATATCGCGACCCCGACGATTACAGGGTGGGGTTTCGTGTTTTATTCGCGCGACCGTAAAGCGTTATTACGATTTCTACGATCCTTCGGGACGCCGCGTTTATTTATCGACACCCCTGCGGACGGTCCCTCACTTTAACGAGGGCACATCCTGTCCCCTGTAAGGCTACGTCTGTGGTCGTTTATGGTGTTTAATTAAAACGACGATTTTGGGGATGAAGTAAGGATGAAGTAGTTTAACGGAGAAAGTAGTTTGTGGGATGTTTAGCGTAATTTGTGGGGGAACAGTCGATGAACATTAAGTGGGACTCTGGTCGAAATGTAAAGACATATCGCTCGTTTATTTGCAATGATGACGTCACTGAAAAATTACGATTTTAAGGAAAACGAGTTCGAATGTTTTGATCGCTATAATTGTGGATGAAAATCATATTAAAGGGACTGTCCTGGCGTGGTATATTTTGGAAGCTCAGTTCAAGGATTCAGCCAATGGAAAGGACAGACAACAACTGGTTTTTTTATACTAATAAGATTAAAAATTTTGAGTTCTGTCATTGTTGCAGCAATTGTATAGTAACTTTACAGATCAATTTTTGGTTCCTCTTAAAGCAATGTATAAATTTTCTTATGTAAATATTAATATATAATGAAATTTTATCTTTATATAATTGATATCATACGGGTTATTGGAGGAAACATCTATTAAAAAACGTTTGAAATAATTTACTGTCCACTTATTATTTTTTTTGCAATCTGTAGTATCTGTCCTATTTGTGAATGTCTTAAACATTTTCAAGTCGTTTTATTTGGCGATTGACTTCACTAGCGCCACCGAATAATAATAATATCAATACAATAATATCGGATGGGGGATTAACAAAATGTAATTTTATAGAGGGAAATAATGTACGTTGATTATTGATACGTTTTAAACGCATTCAGTAAATATTTCAACCGCCTCTTCTTTCACGTCAATTGAGTCATTGTATGTCGAAATGGCGGTCACTCGTGATCGACGAGGCGTTAATGGAAAGCTCACTGCTGGCCACAGGTAACCGTCACGGCAGTGAATGTATTCAACGCCAAGTGGGAATTTTTAACACAGAATTCCTTTACATAATTATATACAATCTATTTCAATGGATTAACATTATTCGATATAAAAATCGCAAACATTTCTTTAACAATTCGTTTCGTTATTTTGCAGAATGTAAAACCGATACCAGTTGGGAAGAGTGGTGGACCTACGACGGAATCTCAGGTAAGAATCATCGGTTTACCACATCGAGTGTCACGTCGGTCTTTGGTGACCGACAGTGAACTTTCCCTTACAGATGTCAGGCAAAGATGCAGTTTTCCTTCGCAGTTATTACAAACTGTTATTACTGTGGGTAAATAAACGGATGATGGGTGGTTTATTAAAAGCTTCAACTCATAGTTTAAAAACTAAAGTATATTTAATTTTCATTTATTATACTATACATTTATGTTCGAAGGCTTCTGAACACTGAACATTAAATATTTCATAAATTAATAGCCGTATGTGGCTGAAACAAATATCATAAGCTTTCAAATCCCAAACTCTCTGACTGAGCTAAACTTAATTAAAAAGTCACCGTTACACCTGAGGACCTCTCTTTGTCAGTGCCGAGGAGCCTTTGAACTCTCATCGAGGATTACTGTACCTTAAAACATTATACATTCAATATGATGCTTTTACTAACGTGTTGTATGAAATCTATGCATTATTTTGTAAACGTATTCAAATGAATTATTTACTATTATATTCATGAATAATAATTGCATTGAAATTAATACGTTTACTAAAAATAGTATACATTCCTATAGTCGGTTCATACTTCTAAAATCGTACGTACATTCGTACATTAACTAGCAAATGTATACATTTACTAATTTCACGCTTCTCATATACAACACGTCCGTACAGCCTCGAGAGATATCCTGTACGATATCTGTAAAGGAAATTTTCATCAATTTTCCGAGTTAACGAACAAAGTAATCGGCTGTGTAATCGGGCGGGGGGGGAATCGATAGACGATGCAGAAGGGTTCGCGGAAAGAGAAACTAATCGGCGCGCGAGTTAATTTCCATTAATATTCGAGGATTTCACGATCGATCGCGTCGATTTCCCGTCGAAGCGACTCCGTGGTCTTCGACGTCAGGAGGGAAGGGGGTTCTCGCGGAATAATGAGATATCGGGATGGACTCAACGTTGAAAATAACTCTTTTTTCCCCCCTTCCAGTTTTGCCAGCCAGGTACGAGGGGGGAAGCTTAATATTGGAAAAGTTTTACGGCGAGATGATATTCCGGGGACGATTACAGAAATACGTTACAGTTCGACGATGCCTTAGAAACCCGTTTATCTGGTGAGAAACTTGCATCGCAGAGGAGAAACGCGGTGTCGACGAGCTCTATCCCACCCCACCCGCCTCCGCGAGAACTTTTAACTTCTTTCCTTTCGTTTCATTGGACTTTCGTGGGAATACCGCGGGCAGCATCGTCGCTTTCTCTGCGGGGGAAATTATGAGGAGATCCTGGAAACTCCGTGATATGACGATTTGATCGGCGGTATCGAATCGGAGGAAATATTTCGTTTAACGAGTCTGTGGCAATTTATTATGTTGATCTTATAACTTTTGTGGAGGGAAAATTGGGTTTGCATTGACGATGTGGGGTTATTGTTTGGCGGCTGTTGAGAATAAAATTTGCGGTGATTAAAATGAATAATGTCGCGACCAGCATTGTTTTCTGAGGAATTTCGAATAATATTTTCGCCTCTTAAACCACTGAGATGAAATTTTTACTACTTTTTAAGTGGAACTACAGTAATGTCTCGATAAGTGCGACATACTCGAGTGCACTTCGGAATATTTGTAGTAAGGCAGAGAGGTTTTCAGACCCTCATAAATTTGTTTTTTGCCCGAAGCTGAGCCTCTGCTTAGCTTCTGTTTACTCTGTTTTGTTTGGGTTCACAGGGGTGTCGCATTCATCGAGGAATCACTGTATATGGTTGTTAAATGATACTGTGCACATACAACAAGTCACAGAAATATTCGTACCCCCGCAATTCTTGAATTCAATTGACTTAATTATTCTTTAAAAATAAGCCCTGAAGAATCAGAGCACGACCGACATACTCGTGCTCTGATTGGTCGGGGTTTTTCGTTAATATCTCGTTAACAAAATCTCGGAGAACATTTTTGCTAAAGAAAAAGTTGTTCCAAATCACCTCACGAGTGACTCATTTCAGGAACCTGCAACACTTTTGTTGCACCTATACTCACAGATATGAAAAACATTACTCTTCTTTGGGCTCCACCGTATTCAACTAAAAAATGCATGATACTAATATTTTATTTCATAATTTGAAATACGTAGCCATATGCCAACAGTGGGAAGGAAAGGGTTAACCACCTTAGACAACCTAACACTTTATGGAATAGTGAATTATATCTTAAATGTCAATAAACAAAATCAACCTGATATTTTCTAAATCAATTTACTGCTCCCGTCAATAACAATTTACAAGGCATTCCAGTAAAGCAAATATAAAGAGAGAGAGAGCGCTGTCGAAGAAGTTTTTCGGCCATAAAAAGAAATCGGAACGAGTAGCGGAACGGAATTTTCAGCCGCTTTATACGGACGCCCCTTAACCAAGTATACGGCACTGTTTCTCTTGTGGCAGCTGGCTCGCATGGCGGAGAAACAGTAAAGTTAAGGCACTCGAGGCTCGCACGACCCCTATCGGCCCCGGCCGTCTTATTTTTAATAAAAATAGCGGCGACCCCGTACCCGGGGCGAGATTAAAAAATTCGTGCCGGGCGCGGCGCCACGAGCCACTCGATGGCCTCGTAACTTAAAATTAAGAAAATTAGGAGGCTCCACACTACCGCCGCCGCCGTCCGCTATGATGGAAACTGATCAACGTTTTCGTCCCTCGCGATTTATATCTCAACCGTAGTCTCGGTGTCTGATGAACAACAAGATCCGAGAGCAGAGTTACGGGAAACAGAAGTTTGTTGCATGAACTTTTTTCGTACCTTTATTAATCTGGTAAACGAGGACGTGAGATGAAATTGTTTTGGCCTTTGCGTTTCCATCGATGCACCTTGATTCGAGCCTAAATATCATTTACATTTGTAGAATTTGTATTGTGCGTTTAGTTCTGTTATTTTTGTCGATATTGATGGGGTTGTTTTGTGAGATTCTTTTGAGTATTTTAATGTCCTCATACTTAGTGCACCGTGCGGTTTTGCAATAATTTTTACGTCTGTTCTGAAGCTTTTTTAAGTCTTTTTTTAGTCCATTTGTACATTGCAATGCATATGATGTGCTCTATAAAAATAAGATTTGGGAAAAGAATCGTAAAATAGCTTCAGAACAAATGTTAAAATTATTGTATATACATTGCAATGTGAACTGGGTTTGAGAAGGTTAAGAAGGTTTTTATGTCTTCAGTATTCTTCAAGAAGTATTTTCTCGGAGGAGCTTTGTATAAACAGTTAAAAATGATCGAATTTATGGGAATTTATTGTGAAGAAAGAATTAAACCAATCTCTTTGAAACTCTGAGTACAATTGTACAATTAAACAATTTTTATTTTGAAAGAAATTTCCCACCCGTATAACAACTCTTAAATTATACAGTTATTAAAATCACCAAGCCATAGAAAATAAAAAATTAAATTAAAATTATCTGTAGATAATTAAAAATAATATAAATTACACTACTCACTATTAAATCAGCAGAACCATGCAAGACAACAAGAAGAAATAAAATATACTCAATAAAAACAAAGCTACTTCCTTAAAATTAAAATCATAATACTAAATTTACTTCATTTCAAGTCATTCAGGGTTAGATAGCCTTCTGCATAACTTGGCCCATTCGATCCAAAGAGAAGACAGTATAAGCGCATAAAGTTCATCCTCCATTAATGAAGAAACGACCACAGATCGTTATAAATCTTTTTCTTATCGAATTCCTCTGTCACCAGTTACACGTTTCACTGACTCCCAGTGACTTATCGTCGGTCGCAGGGTGTAGGAGGTCAGGAGTGGATTCTTAGGGTGCACCCTGGTCTCATATCAAGGACAGATGGCCCGGCCATTTTACAACCAATAACTGACTCCCTACGCGGATATATATGCCTGGTAGCCATCCTTCGTCGTCGATCCGTACGTACACTGCATATCCTTGATTTCACCTCCAGGCCTGGTCCCGAGAAAAATATCGCTTTAGACCTCGACTGCGCCGTTCGTCTATATATATGTACACACACACACACACACACACACACACACACACACACACACACACACACACACACACACACATATATATATATATATATATATGCAGTACGATACAATGTATAATATATAAACGCTGACGGGGTGGGGAGATGAAGGGAGGGAAAGATATGAAGCGGAGCCACGGTATTCGACGCAGGAATATAATTTGTTGCAGAGTCAATATTGCCGGGGGTAAATAAGACGAGGGAAGAATGGATGTTGATGTAGACGGGACGTACGTGACTGATGTTACAGGGAATGGCGAATGAAATTTAATGTTTCGGATGGTGCCCTGGTGGGATCTGGTTAGAAAATTTCCTTTGAAGGATTAGAATTGAAATTGAGAACTTGTTGATCGTAATTATTATTCGGTGCATCTGCAGGTAATGCACTGTTGTCCTTCGTTATTTGATATTTTAGATTGACAATGTTTTCTAAAATTTTCGCTGTATAAAACTAGCGTGTGAACCAATTATGATCTTGTGCAAAAAGTGGATTACTTATTGGTACACCTAATAGTAATTTGGAGTTCATTTTGAACATTATTCAAATTTATTTCCATGAAGTTGTTGAAGTGTCGTGAGACTTTTAATTCGATCGGTTAATCTGTTTGTCGATTTGTATTTTTTCGGTCAATGGAAAATAAGTAAGTCCTTTGAACACTGTTTTGGTATAATTGCAAAATATATAAAATTGTTTCAATTATTTTTACAGGGTATCGAATAACAGAGTCACTAGAATTAAATTCAATTCTAGTGAACTACTGCTTAATCCATCTATGCGCCCTAAATAGAATAATTATAAATTCTATAACCCAATTGTACCTATCGCAAAGTATCGTTCACATAAACTTAGTAACAATTTCTTGATTTATAATAATTAGACTTTAGATTTCATACATTTATATCCTACAAGGGCTCTCCGAAATACGGTATAAAAATCAAA